ACAAAATACTCGAGCTGGCCTCTCCAATTATTCAAAGGATTGAGTCCCCCAACAAATTGCTGCATTAGTTTGATTACTCGATTCATGGGATGACACGAAAATAGTTGGAACAAATATTTTTGACGTGTGCTGCTGAATGGGAGGTGATGGGCGTGGCTTGGTGAATCGTCATACACGGCAAGCTGGGCGTGGCTTGCATGGGGTTTCCTGCCTTCGGTGGGTGGAAATTGTGGGCTGCTGCCATTTTGCAAGGGCCTGAGTAATTGATCAGGTAAAAAATTAACCCGTAAAAACAAAGTTTTTCACTATAAATCCTTTATATGCGTGGCAAATAAATTACAGTACATGTTCAATGGGCCACAACCCAGCCCACATTGGTCTTTGAAACGGGCGGCTAGAGTCCTCTCGTCCTCTGGCTTGAGATGGCTGCCACCTATGGGTCAGATGATTGCCTGCCACCATTAAGCAATTGGTAATTAAATATAAATAAAAAATCCTAAAATGTTGAAAATTTTGGGAAAAAATTTCACGAAAATAAATTGTCACGCACAACGAGTCTGTGTGCAAAATGTCAGCTCGATTGGATCACGGGAAGTGGGTTAAAAAACGACCGAAAGATTTGCACGGTCGTAAGCGCGCAAGCAAGAAAGTGAACTTAATATAAATGATTTAAAAAGTACTGTCGTCGATTATAATATTAAATAAATTAATCAACATAATTGCACAATTGCCCCAGCTCTCCAAAGGACACAAATTCCCACTATAGCGCCTATTAAGGCCAGTATATCACGCGAGAGGGTGATGTGGTTAGTGCCACACCTGACCACCTTTGTCTCTCCAGTACTAATGTTTACACACAGCACCAGTCACTAATTTAAGGCTTAGTGGTTCAAGGTGAGGCCCAGGAGAAGTTTTGATACCAATTGCCGCTGATGTTAGCCTTGGCTGGGAAATGGAATTAAAGTGAGTATGTCCATCGTGCAGTGTGCGCTTAACCACCAAGCCACTACAGAGGCAGACGCATGCACCGGCAGGTCTTGGTCATGCAACTTCCCCCATGTAATAGAGTGGTCATTTCCCCTCCAAACAAAATCAAGCCTACACCCATGATTGCAATGGCCAGTTTCCTTCTCAATTTCTGTGGCATGTGTTTCAAAACCCTTAAGGCGTCCGGTGACATTTGGATGCTAAATTTGCGCCGTTACATAAACGGATGTTTTTTTTTGTCCGCTGTGTATTTCTGCGAGCCTCGGGATCGGAAGACATGAGTCAACCGCACCGCTCGTGACGCCCAAATCGCTCGCGAATTAAATGACGTGTAACAAACCTTCTAGAGTCCCTTCGGTTTGTCATGTTTGTGACTGCGGGCAATGCAGTGTCCACGGTGGGCCACAGCGTGCAAGGCAATCACCGCGGTAAGCTGCGCTCCTCCACAGGTGTGCTGGCGGTGTTGCCGATGCTTCTCAGCCTTGAGCCTTTCCACAAGTCCTTATCTGGAAGAGAAAAATGCAATTAAGTTTTAAAATCACCAGCATTTTTTATTTTTGAGGAAGCTGAAAATTGTAACTGTACCACGATTGTAATTATTACGGAAGTTTCTGGAAGGCAAGGCATTGACTTAGCTTTTTTGCTTCAATGCCAATAAAATGTCCTGTAACTATATTCAAAAGTTCGGATCACTGTACGTGTAACATGTGTAATATATGTCACTTGGCGGATCAATTCCCAATTATTATTACCGTGCATACAGTGGAGCGGTGCTGCATTTTGTTAGTGCATTGCGCGATAAACTCGGTCAGCCCAGTTCAATTCCCAACCAGGCCTATTGTTCGGAGTGATACCTTAAATGATCCTGACCCCAACCCCCTCACTAATCAACACTCATCAGTGTAATTAAGTAAAACGGCGAAAAGGTAGCAGTGTGGCTTGCGGGATGTGTAAAAAAATACTTTCATGCTTTACATTTAGGGACAGACAATGGGAAGGAGGCATATTGCCTGCTTACATATATGTAATACGTGTATATAAAGGCCAGTCATAACTTTAAGAATGTGATATTTAATTAACACACTGGCTTAAGTTGAGGACGTATTATGTTTCAGTAATTCTAGTCACAATACTGTTTCCGATTAATACTCAGATATCTACCGATGGAATGTATCAAATAAATAAGCGAGCTATTGTGACCATCCGAATCTTCTGGCCCACGATGTAGCTCACGTCTGACTTCATGTCAGCGAACTAACTTTTGGGCTACTCTGCATACACGCCCGAGAAGACGTGCACTAACATTCTCGCTCACTGTACAATGAACACAAAACAACATGTGCAAGTAGTTTATAATATTTCGCCCTATACTCGAAGGCCCTGATTGCAAGTGTGGGTCATACGCAGTGTGACCTCGGTGGGTTGACGACAGATGGGACTCGTTACCGGCTCGTAAAGGGTTCACCGGTGACGAGACACAGCCAAACAGGGTCACGGCCAGGGGCATTGCCAACTGGGAAAATTGGAGGTTGGAACTCATATATCAAAAACATTTCACACTTAGTAGTCCACGTGAATAATGAACCTAGAGGCGTCGATATAGAGCAGCGCTTCAGCACCCACGGTTCCCGCAGACGCGACTGCAATAAGGCAGGACCGCTTCAAGAGTTTGCTACCGTGTGCTTTTCAGATCGCCTTGCCTCAAAGCAAACGAGACTGCGGAAGGGTCGTCGTTAAGCCTTTAAGAAGGACCATCATCGGAGCGGATTTAACCACCGCCCCGTGAAGGGGGAACGTGTGTGGATACAGCTGTTGTCCATTGTGTCTCCGGCGCGGGAACATTTCATTAGTTCGGTAAATGTGCTGTTAGGATCTTCGATAATGCCTAATGAGCTAATTGCCGCACTGGTTCCAGTTTCTTTGCAGCGGGGATGCTCCCACAATGAGCCGACGGGCATTCCTGCGCACTGAGCTCACCGCTCTCGGCACCCAGATGCGTCCGAATTAGTGTCTCGTGCCAGTTCTCCTAATTGCGGCGGGGCCCCCAAAACTTGACAACAACAAAATACAGAAATTGGTGATCAATCACATCAAATTAATGTCAGCCCCCCCCCCCCCCGTAGGATGCTCTGCTTTGGCCCCGATGACCTTGGTTCCCATGGGAAGGCTGCGTTCTCCTCCAATACCCCAAAGGCACGCCCCAACGCACAAGCCTCTCTCCCAATTCTTTGCCCGCCCTTGCGCCCCATTATTGTACAATGCTTGACTGTTACGGGCCTAGCAACATCGCCTCCCCCTCCACCGTACCCCTTGCACTTTCTTCTCTAGGCTAGGAAAATAAATCCGGGAAGAAAGTAAGACATTTGCCATTTCAAGGCGAGCAAATGTTTTACGCTTTTTGGTTTTTATTATTTTATTATTTCCCTTCTACGCGACTTTACAGAAAGAACCAAGAAGATGAATCCCTGCAGTCACGAAAGCTTTAAATCGAAATTTTGAAGAGTTGGCAACAATGGATGAGTAGGGTAAATAAAAATGTGAAGATACAATAACACGAAATGCAATTGATGCTGGGAGCTTTTACCAAGATAGCATACGTCATACTCTGTACCATGCGTTGCCGTGTGCTGGTATACACGTGTGCGTGTATATACGTGTGCGTGTATATACGCAGATTGTGTTGCTTTTGGCAACTCCGTGGTTTTTCTTTAATGTAATCTAATCTATGTCCATAGCCAACATTACTTTAAAATGTTTTCATAACCATCGGGTTGTTATTTGAAAAAGCCAACTGCACAGCAATTTCATTTTGGAAATATGTCTAACTTATGAGCACTTTCGTCTCCTATAGACATAACCTAAAATATTGAAAGTTTTTCTTCTTATCAGTCGTCCCGTGACACTTTTTTCAGGTCATGCAAAATACATTTTTTGACATGCGCTAGAGGTTTTTAAATAAAAAAATCTGAGTTGTAAAAGTATTAACGGCTGCATATATCGATCACATTCCCTACACAATGTGCATATATTTCCGAACTTACAAGTGTGCTTTGCATTCATAAATATGACACAAAACAATGGGACGTTTAAAACTAGCCTTTTCAAAAGCACATATCTCGTGTTAGGTAAATATAATTCCTTGAAACTGGTAAACATATGTACGCCAGTATGACCAAAATCACCCTCAATGCGGCGATGCTCAACCAATTTTAAAAATGCCAAGCAGGCCACGTGCCTGGATAGCACTTGGATGGGCGACTACGAGGCACAAGCAGGTGCTGGAGGCGTTGCAATGTGGTGGACGGTGCCGCAAAGTGCATCGCTGAACAGCGCTTTTCATGCTCCACGTCTCTACTTCGCTCGCACGAGGCGATAGCTTCAGGAGCCACATGCCAATGTCGAAGGTCCGCTCAACATTGGCATGGGTTTATCATCACGAAGATATTACAAAGATCCCCCGTATAGCCTGCAACAGACTGTAGGGGCAAATGCTGTTAGCGAGCACCTATAAAGGCGAGCACGGCACACGAGTGGGTGGGTGGCCAACACCACGCCGGGCCGCCTTTATCTCCCTAGCGGCGATGTTTACACACCGCACTAGGTAAGGTACTCATTTTAGGCTGAGTGGACTTAGGTGTTGGCCGTGAGCGGGAATGGAACCCGGGTCGCCAGGTTCGTAGCGCAGCGCGCTAACCGCCCCACAACACACACAGAGACACACACAGACACACACAGAGACACACACAGAGACACACAGACGCACGCAGCACTGGCAGTAAGTCGTTGATCCATCACGCTCGTGACTTCCCGCTAGGGGGGGCTCACCCAAGACGAGAAACTTTGGGGCTCCTTGTTTTCGTTGTTGTTGCACCGCCGAGGCGGCGCTGCGTGGCAGCCGGGGCCGGGAGCGAATCCAGAGCGAGCGGAGGAGGAGAAGAGGGAGGGAGGAGAGAAGTTTTGTGTGAAGTTTGCTGAGAGCCTTTGGGCGCGAAATCTTTGCCAGACCACCCGCCCACCCTGGCACGGCCCCCCACCCCTCCATCTCCCCACTCCGCTGCGTTTCAACTCCTGCTACAACACGCAGGGGTGCAATCGCAGGGCAACACAGGCGCACACAGACGCACCCACGACTCACGCGCACACATCCGCGCGTTGCCACAGCCTCCAGCATGCAGCAGCGCAGCGAGCACCAACTCCGCGCGTAGGAGGCGAGAGAGAGAGAGAGAGGATTGTGAGAAGTGCTTTTTGTTCCTCTTCTTGTTATGCTATAAACTCAGTTTGCGTCTACGTAGATTTGAATGCGCGTCAAGGAGCGTGCCGCTTGTGGAGCACGCCACGGTCGTGCGAAGTTGTGAGTAATGTAGCCGACTTTTGTTTAAAAAGAGTTCTGCTTCTACGGACCAACCAACCATCACCACCGCCAGCAGCAGCATCAACGACCGTGCCACGCTCGAGAACAAGACGATCTCCGTGGATCTCCTCCCCCGTGTGCTCCATCAAGGAGCCCGCTCGCTCGCACCAACATCACCGGCGGTGCAGGGCCATGCCGTGCTGGAGGAGGCGGGCGTGCAGGCTGCCTGCCTGGGCTGCCCTCTGCTACCTGACGTTGACGCTGCTGCTGCTACTGCTGTGCCCGCACAGGGCGCAGTGCCATGTCGACAACTGCAACTGGAAGGGCAGGTACGTGTTGTGGAACTTTAACAATAACAACAATAATAACAACAGGACGCGAACCGCATGGGGTGATGATTTAATTGTGTGCACGAGATGGTGGTGGTTGGGGCTGGTCGGGATAACTTGGAGGACAAATGAATGCCGCGTGACATCTCTCTTTCTCTCTATTCTTGTTTTAGTTCTGGCACTGCGTGGTTGTAATTTGCTGTTGGGTTGATGAAAGGCGACGCGGACGACTTGAATGCACGCAGTCGTCGCTCATGGCGTGGTGTTGAGACGTTGACTCCCTCGCCTGCTGATATACAGGCGAGGTCGTGGGTTCGATCCCGACCCCTGACGCTTGTTGTATGTCATATTTGGAGTTTGGATGTTCTCCCCGTGGTCGCGTGGATTTTTTTTCCGGGTCCTCCAGTTTTTCTCTCCACATTTAGAAACATGCGTTTAAGAGTATTTTGCTGCTATAAACTCCCACGTGAGCCTTACCTAGTAACATAAAAATGTTTTTTGTTGTTAAAATAGCTTTAGTTTGTGTGTGGTAGTGTTGTAACTTCCAACTGGTACTGAGCAAATGCCTCGTTCGCCCCCCCCCCCCTATTTTCAATTCCCCTTTCCTCCGTTCTTGTCCTGCAGTTGCCTCCTTAGCTCTTTGAGTAGTTCATCTCGCTTTCTCGGTTTCCACTGTGGTTAATTGCGTCCCGTCCTCTTTAGATATTATATAACCTGTGGCATATAGCAGCAGCGCCACTACAATACATAACCGCCACTTGCAATGCTTTTTTGCGTTTTATGAACAGTTCTGCTTGAGATCTCTTGTCCACGATACTGAAGCAGGCCTAACGGTGGGTTTGTTGCGTGTGGGAGAAATCCACGCCTCCGAGGAGATGTAGTAAGACGCTTGTCTGACATTATTGGAGGGATCGTAATGAATGTGGTGCAAGGCGGCATGATGGCCGTGATACTGCATTGATCGGTTGACGTCGTCCTTCATTCAATCGCCAGTCCCTGTCTGGAAGAAGATTGAGTCACGGTTTGGGTTTAAAACGATCGTGGATAATAGTACAGCCGTTGTACCCCCCTAGATTATTCGTTGGAGTCATCTCCCGTTAGATATTTGTTGGAGAAAGAGATTAGTTGCACACAGACTCTCATACACTTTCGCTGGCCCATGGTGCGCTGAAGATTGTATTACAACTTTAGGGTAGCATTTGTAATACTAATCTTATCCATGAAAGTCTCAATGAGTCTCGCAACTGTATTTCAGTGGAGCACTTGCTACCAGAGCCCTCCCTAGAGGGGACGGCGAATCGGGGCGACCGCCCTGGGCCTCGTGCTTTGGGGGGGGGGGGGGGTCGCGCTCCAACGTCACCGTGTCAGATTTTATACTTCCCGTTTAAGTTTGAAGGCGTCGGGGGGCCCACACGGTGGGATTTGCCCCGGGACACGCCCCCCCCCCCACACCCCCATGGACGACCATGCTTGGTAGATTGGGATGTTTGGCCAATTCCATCCACGCAGACGAGGGGGATGATGCTCAAAGGTCCGCACAGATTTGGTTGGCGGCCCACTTGTTGTACTGCCATCTTCATCTGTTGTTGTACTGCCATCTTCATCTGCAGCCAAGCCAGCTATGGCTGCAGAGTTTGGTAGTACATGTTGTTTACGTCGTTTATTGTGAAAATTCGGTCACAGTTCCTATGATCACTGTTTCATTGCTTTTATGGCTTTATTTTGATGATTTTCGAAAAGTTTTTTGGTTTGGCCATGTTTGTTTGTAGTACAGAGTTAGACTGATGGCCTTAATCTAAGTTGTCTTGTGGTTGTTGTTGTTTGACTTGCATTCCACTGGGATTTTTGCACACAGTGTTGGTGTACGGTGATTTTTCTGCAATATTTTGCTGTCTTTTCTTGGATTTTCTGTTTGCACATAGTCACTTGAAGATGTTTTCTTGTTCATGTTTTTGTTTTCTGTTTGTTGCGGTTGCACCCGATTCAAGAGCCGAATGGCTCACAGGGCTATACCTAATAAATAAACTTGAAACTTGAAAACTTCAGAGCACTCTGCAGCCAGCGGCTTTAGGAGTTTCACGAATATTAATTTGATCCACCAACCTCCCGCCCTGCAAATGGCAGGGGGCGTGTTGAAGACCGCATTGTACGTGTCGGTGTCAATCCACTGCTGGATGAGAGCCTCCCCGTGCTGTGCAGGCAGTGGTGAGTGAAGATTGGGGGGGGGGGCACAAGGATGGGATTTGCTGCACTTCCCTCTACTGCTCACGGGGCCTACGACGAGTGTGTTTGACACAAGGTGGTCTCGCACATCCCAAGAACTTGGCTTAGCCCTGCCGAGATGAGACGAGATCGGAGCGCGCGTAGTTGCGAGTTTGTCGAGCTCTGCGTTAGCGTTGCTCCTGCCGGATTTGTATCGCCGTATAGGCTCACGGACATTTAAAGGGGCTTGACATCGTCATTTTGAATTCCTAAGAGGCCGTCAACCGAGCCTGGTGGTCTTCGTTGCAAGGCCCGCGGGCCACTGGGGCGCCGGTGCCCTTTAGTGCGGCCCGTGACGTGTGCGGGCCCCCAACAGTGCACACACACAGCACACACACACACAGCGCACACACAGCACACACACACACAGTACACACACACACACAGTACACACACACAGAGTGAAGACGCCTCCGTCATCGTGGCTGTCAAACCCCAGTTTTTTTTTAAATGCGTGGCGACTCTCCTCACACAGACGATGTCTTATCGGCGAAAGTGCTCCCCCCCCCCCACCTCTGAAAATGTGAAAAACACTGCCCGAGGTCCTTCGACGATGCCCAGCCAAAGGCAGCACATCTACGAGAGACCTACGTCTACACAGGAGGCCCCCCGCCCCCCAATTGATTGAAGCAAATTGATTCGTGAATGGCCACCACCGTTCGGCTTCTTTAACCCTTCGCCCAGTGACTCTGGCCGAGATGCGGCCGCGGGGAGGGCCTGTGGGCATGCAGCAGAATGCAATCGCGACGCTACAGCAGCCTTGGACTCCCGTTATGAGACCAACGGGGAAAGCACGTGACCACGGGGGGGGGGGGCGAGGGGATGTCAATGGAATGGGTGGCTCTACGTTCGTCAATTCATTTGGAATTCCATTCACGGATGAACAAAAGTTACCGGGGGGGGGGGGGTGTAATTTTGCACAAGCCCATTGTTTTGCACGGAGAGCAAATAGAGCAACTGTGCATACGGAGTTCGGGATTTAATTCTCTTTTCCAGCCACGTGAGTGCCCCATTGATATTCGCGTTTCGCGTGTGTTAATTGTGTTTAATCAGGTGCGAGGCAATGACGTTCCCTGCTCCATTAAGTTCCTTTATTTAAGCAGGTGAAGCGCCCGTGGGGGGATCCGTGTATTCATGAGTTCGTTGGTGTTGTAGACCGTACTGTTGACTCTAGCATAAATACATTACATAATCGGATAATATTGGTCGCGAAAGGCCTACGTGTTAAACTGACATTACATCACATTTTTATGAGCTTTTACGTAGTTTCTCATTGTCGAATTATCTCAGTCTATTTAAATGCAATGTTGAGTAATAAAAGTGTAAAAACCACAGCCCACTTTTATCGGTCATGCAAATTACGTTCAGTCTTTTACGTCCACCGAACAACAGAAGGCCTCCTGTGGAAATGTCCTTGAAGCAATAACTGGACAGGGGCGCCACAGTGGCGATGTGTTAAATCCCTTGCTTGGTTTTCAGGTGGTTTATGGGTTCGATCCCAACCCTGACACCTGCTGTATATTTGGAGTTTGCGTGTTCTCCCCGTGGTCGTGTGGATTTTTATCCGGGTCCTCCGGTTTAGAAACGCGTGTTCAGAGTATTTGGCTGCTATACATTTCCACGTGATAAGCCACTTAATTTGGCTATCATTTGTGATAACGAGGTCGCTTCTGAAAAACAGCCATGTAGCTCAGTGAGCCTTACCTGGTAAATAAAAAAAACTGTTTAGATTTCGATTTAAAGCTTTCGTGACTGCAGGGATTCATCTTCTTGGTTTTTTCGGTAAAGTCACGTAGAAGGGAAGTAATAAAATTATAAAAATAAAACATAATAAAATAATTCTCACGACGTTTCGGCTACAACGCAAGCAGCCGTCTTCACCTGAATACCTCAAGACGGCTGCTTGCGTTGTAGCCGAAACGTCGTGAGAATTATTTTATTATGTTTTATTTTTATTATTTTATTACTTCCCTTCTACGTGACTTTACCGAAAAAACCAAGAAGATGAAAACTGTTTAGTTTAGATGGAATCGAATAATTTCTTCTGATACACGAACGCTCTTTGAGGTTGCTAGACAACTTTGTTCCTGAGCTCAGTAGCTCAGGCAAGCATGCTTACAGCGAGGTTACACATTTATAGCTGCACACCCATGCTGTTTGCGGATGTTCTCACCCAATTGCTTACCTGGCTATGTAGGTGTGCTCTGTTTGCTTTCGTTCCCTATAACACGTGGCATTACTTGCACGGAGGGAGTCAATGAGTGAAGAATAAATTGTTTTAAAAAATCCATCGCATCTCATTGCGATCGCCCACAATACCCCACCATGGATATGTAGTGCATTTAGATATGTACACGTACAGAAGCGAAACCTATTTGAATATAAATATTTAAATATTCAAATTCCATTCAAATTCCCAGTTAAGCAAAATGCGTAGGCAGATGTAGAGTTCTGCTTCACATGACCTGTCTCACCTAATCAATGAGCTGTGTTCAGCTCGGGTTTAAAAGCATGTTCACCCCACACAACCACATCCACGTGGCACTCGCTCTCAGTTTACGTTTGTTTTTATGCAAACAAAAATGTAAAGTACGGCTCATCCGGCAGTAAATTTACTGCTGGATGGACGGCCTCTCCTCACGGAGTTTGTCTTGACCATCCTTCTTCATCACGCTGGGATGTGTATGTTGAAGCGGTTGGGAGGGTAAACCAGTTCAGAACTCGCTGAACTGGTGCTGGGAATTAAACTGAGGTCCTCGGGTTCATAACACGTTGTGCTATTTTGCCACTGATCCCTCACGATACACCGTAGTATATTCAATGGGGTATGTGTGACGGAATGTATACACTTATCGGTAACATTGATGATCAAAACGCCAAAGTATTCCATATTAAGAACATTGGGATGGATCTGATCTCCATTGGCAGCCTTGAGCCGTTGGTGTAAATTCCATGCTCATATGGTAATGGCTATTCCGTCTGACAACAATTGCTCACATCCTCCAAAAGATTGTGCTCGTCATCCTCAGAGCTGGGACTGAGTCAGCTCCTGATCCGAATGTGAACTTCCGATTGGGTCTTATGCGCAAACCGCAGCACCGCCCGGCTATTTTAATAACATTGGCAGCAATGCGGCACAGTGGTTTGCGCACTGTGCTATGAATCCAGCGATCTATTTTCCATTTGCGATCAAATCTAACAAAAGTGGCTATTGATATCTGAGCCAGTCCTGGGTCTCCAACCTACTCTGACCAGCATGGTGAAGTATGGTCAAACAACCTCCACGGTCAGCGCAGTGTGGAGAGGTCTTCATCCAGAAAGTGATTGACGGAGAATTTTGCATTGTATAATTATTTTCTCATTTCAAACCTGGGTGGTGGGTGGAAACGGAGTCCATCAAATGAGTTTATTCTGAAGGGGAACCCTAAGTTATTAGTGTTTAGATTATTTAGATTATTTGGCTACTATATATTCCACATGATAAGCCACTTTGTGGAGATATAGTTTGTGGCCAGGTCGCTTTTGGAAAATAAGCTAAAAGCTAAGTGGTTCTTACCTGGGAAAAATAAATATATTTTTCGTGAATTTCTTCCCTTGACTATACTTGGTACTCCTATCGTGTTTTTGCTTTGTTTGTTGTTGTAACTTTCTGACCCCGTGCCCCTACTGGGTGTGCATCTGCCAAAAGTAGCTTTATAGCTCATCGGATTCCTCCAGTCTGAATAAACATTGCGATTCCAAATGTGCCACCCACCCTTTTTGTTGTGCAGCGGCCTCACCGACACTCTCATCGCTCCGGGCACGGCGAGCATCGTGCAGCTGTCGCTGCACTGCGCGCAGGGCTCGCTCGAGTGGCTCTACCCGAGCGGTGCCCTGCGAGTGCTGCTGCACGCGCCGGCGGGGATGGCGCGGGGCGGGCGCCTCGTCGTGTGCCTCAAGCCCCTGCCGGGCTCGCACGGCGCGAACGTGTACGTGGAGCGGCCCGGCGAGCTGCAGCTGGCGGTGGACGAGGCGTCGGGCGGCTCTGACCGCGTGTACTGCGTGCCCGCGGGCCACGGCGAGCGCGACGACGGAGGGGCCGCCACGGCGCTCTTCATCCAGGCGGTGCCGCAGACCGACATCAGCCGCAAGGTGACGGCGCTGCGCTACGAGCTGCGGCCCGAGGGAGCCCAGGTGGTCGTGCCGGGCCGGGACGCGGGCGACCCCGACGGTAAGGGCCCACGCGACCTGGCACTGTCCCGCTGCTGCCGTGTCGCTGCACTGCAGTGCTGCCTTGGCTGCTGCTGCTGTGTGCTCGTTGGGGTTGAATTTCTCCTTTTCCACTGGCACAGACATGCAAGCTGTGCCGGCGTGTGGGATCTTCGTGGTCAGAGCTTGTTTGGCAGCCGCTCCTTTCATTTGCGTATGACATCGACGGACACAGAGCGGGTTATGCAGTGGGGAAAAACCTGGCATCTCCTTTTCCACGAGGTTGTATTGTGAAAAATACACTCAAGTGTGTTCGTATACATGCCAGCAATAGAGTGGTAGGAATTCTCCATTATCAAGCCTGAGTGCTAAAAGTTCGACATTCCCACGTCAGGGAAGAGTTGTTGTTTTTCCCGATGGATGAGAACTGTGGACTGCACACAAAGCGGTACTCAAATTTCAATCCACGAGGGATGATAGGCATTGTCGAACCGGCATTTGAAGTTGCAACCTTGTAATTGTGACTTGGGCCACAAGCCAAGCTGCCTGCTAACACGACTATCTCATATTCACATATACAGTATATATATATATAAATTGAATATTTTGGAACATAACATTTATATTATCCCACTTTGGGCCATTAAATTAAACTATCACTGGGTCGATCATATGAGTGCCACTTTACAATAAGTCTATAGTGGTTCCTACATAAAAAATATTTGCCCGGGTCATAGGAATGTATAATTTACAACACAGTCTGTCAGCAAAGATGAATGCTGCTCATGTGATCAGAGTTATCTTCGTTTTTAAATGGCATTTTTGCTTAAAAACTAGCATAGCAAACACGTTGCAATTTTTTTTTAAAAGGTCGATCAAAACCATTTCACAAATCCTTTGGCAATGCCCCATCGCACTGCTGTGCGGATGCAGTTATTCAACTGTGGATACTATTCAACTGGCTCAATTGTGCTATAACACCCTGCCACAGGTCTGTAATAGAACCACCAATTCGCCAATTGATCATATATGTTACTCTTTAGGATTATCCACAGCTATGAGCCAAGCTTTTCGTGTGAAGTGTTCAACTGTTTGGGTGGAACATTGTTTAACATCCGTAAGATGTCCATTCGCAAGCAGCAATTGAGCAGTTCAATACCGTACTTTTCTGCCAGTAATATTTCAGGCCCTTTCCCAGTCTGAAGACGTTTTCTTTAGGGGTTTTTGTGTCCGATGTAAGAATATATCGACAAGTACACAAGTCAAATCAATCTTGCTTCATATTATACGGGCACGAACCAAATCTAATTTGGAGTACTTTATTATTAAATGTGAAAGAACACTGTCTTATTTCCTGTTGCTAGCTTAAAAAAAATGTGTTGCTCTCTCTGCAAAATTTTCTTCGGCCGCTGGAATGCTTTCCTGGAAAGTTCATAAAGAGAGCGCGGTAATATAAACTCCGGGCCCTTGCCTTGGTTCTTCATTGGGCTTTGATTTTAAATTCACTCGCGCCAGCTTTGGGGGCAAACACGCTCTTATTTACAGTCGTAAGTTTATGGCCCTGAGATGGCTGAGAAACGCGCGCACAAATGGAAGCGCCTGCGCCGCCGTGTGTGTGCCAAACGTAAACATAGCAGCCGCGGAAAAAGGAGCCAAGTGCCACGTTATGTGTGAACACCACACGGAACTTTGCGCTCTTTTGAACGGAGGGTGAATCTAAAGCCCCCCCCCCCACCCCGCTAAAAATAAACGTGCATTTTCTCTTCTCGCAGTAATAGGCTTGTTGTGGAGGCCATCTGCCTAGTTGATGTTGCACCGCTCACCGACGTGTGTGCGGTTGTGCAAGGCCCTGTTCGTGTTGAACGCTGGAGGCCATAAGAGGTCAGATATAGAAAAATGTGTAAGTGCGTGTGTCCAGATGTTCGTGTCGGCGAGTGAAACTGCAATCCTTTGGCATCTCCGAGGATTTTCTTTCCATTGCAGTGTGTGTGTGTATTAAGACCAGCTGTGTAAGTGGATGCATTCGGAGGAGCGCACCATTAATTTGAGATCAATAAGTGTGCATAGTGGCAGACGCTCATTCCAAGGAGCTTCTCTTCCAATCTAGTGCAGGGGATTTTGTGAATGCGCCGGTGGCTTTTCGGCTGCGGCGGGGGGGGGGGCACAATCTCCGTTGCACTCTCGCCTAGTTAGTATTCGCACACGTGCAGGACGCACACAAGGGCCTCGAAATTGCACGATGGCAGCAGAGGCACAAAAGACACCGTGGTATGTGAAATCGTCTGCGCTGCTGAAACTGATAATCTGGCTTCCATCGCAATCCCCAGCAAAAAACATTCTTCATTATTGGTGACAGCCTTTTTTCCTGGGGGCTATGTTTGGCTTGTTGCTTGCTATGTACACACAGCTGGGGTTGGGTTTAATTTAAGTCCACCTTTCATTTCTTCTGCACTCCTCCCCCCTTACCCTTCTCCCCCCTTCCTGACAATTCTCCCTTCACCACCACCACCACCCTCACCCAAGCTGCATACACCCACTCCCCTGCCGATTCACTCCCACCCCCTCATCCACAAGATGGAGTGGGCTTTTCTTAATGTGTTCGCTTATCTCAAGGGAGCCGTCTCTGCCTGTGGGCTGGGAGGTAATTTATTGAGGAGGTGGAACACGCTTGCTCTTTTGCTAAGGGTTTAGCCCAGGTATTAATTAACATTCTTAATGGTTAAGGAAATGCTGAGCTCACCGGAGTTCGGAACAAAAAAGACTTTATTAAGTGCCCCAGGCTCACTGCCACAATGCAGGGTGTTGTAAAGTTAGTTTTGCATACAAAGTTGAATAAACATCTAAACTAAGCAGTGCATCTTTTTGCCCCCACCTCTCCAAATGTAGCGGTAAGTTTTATGGAGTTGGCAGGCAATTGCCAACTGCAGTTAGAATCGAGGGCCTTCTTTTGCTCCCATTGCGATTCGTGGGTTGGGCTCACCCACGGTCCTATTCTGCAGACGAATGTTTGGACGACCTTATATCATTCTCGCTCGTGGAGGTGGTGGTTGGAGGGAAGGTGGTTTAAGAAGAATCCACCCTGCTTCAATGTAGCGAGACACAAGTCCGTGGTCACATGAGAAGAGGCGCTGACTCCTCCGATTCGAGTCTGCGATCATGTGACCCCCCTCCACCACCACCACCACCTCTCTCTTCAATTCGGAGGGCCCTCTCCCTTGCCCGCACGCCTCGTCCCGCGTGAATCGCCTGCTAATCCGTAATCCCAGCGCACTAAGCTCTAATCACTGTGCCCCGATACTTCATGTGCATTCTCGTGCACGCATTGCGAGTGCACGGGAGGAGAGAGAGAGAGCGGTCTGCACGGGGCGCGTGAAAGCGCGAACATGAGCGCCAATAATGAAGGCCTTTGTGAGCGGTCTCTTCAGCTCGGGGCTCTGATGGGGGGGGGGGGGGGGGTGCTGAAGGGGTGGGCGAGAGAGGGACGTCTTTGCGGACTCCCTTTTCCGTGGCAGCGAGATGAGTTGAATGCGCGCGGAGAAGCAATTCAAAATACAGTGCTTCTGGCTAAATATCGGCCAGCCTTTTGGATTACTGCAGGTCAAAGCAGTTTCCTGTATATTTCCTCTCCACAGATTTGCCTTGGGTTGAATTCTATTTTCATTCAATCTCTATTACCGTACACCGCTATACCAGTTCTTCAAATCGTGACGCAGGTAACGGCATGTGCCTCCGGCAGGTGTTTTCAATCGGGCTGCGCGCAAGGCATATGCCCCGCAACATGTCTGCACGAGGCCGCTGTGCGAGCAAGAGACGTGCTTGCATCTCTGGGTGCAGTGAAGCCCACTGCGGCACCTTGCCTCTCACCAGAGGCCAGGTCGCTCGCCTTCTTCTACCGTGCCACGGGCACGTGCTGCTGCTTGCTCCCTTGCAGTGGGCAGCGTTTGACTCTTTATCCGAACAGCGGTGGATGACAAAAAGGGAGGGGTTGATCATTTACTGCTCGTGTATACCTTTGCAACAAAAGCCACATGCTACACGAGCAATAAGAGTGGGGACGCCATCTACCCCCCATTGTCTTTGGATCAAGCAAGGATCTCGTCTGAACTCCCCTATTTGCTTTTTCTCCCCGAACAATGTAAAGAGTATTGCGGTTTCACCCCACCCCCTCCACCTTTAAGTTGCCTTTTGGCAGGATGCACTGCAAATTACGAGTTCCTAAATTGAAAACAGATCATGGAGAGCAATAAGCGAAGCGGTATTTTCTTTGCACGCGTGCTTAAAAAAACACATCTTTATTATACACTCACTGTATTTTAATTACAGCCGCAACGACGCACGTTTTAAATTACCTTTGTGCTGCCCTTGTGTGCTCTCGGCGTGAGCAATGCAACGTTGGGGGGGAGGGCCCTTTTCCAAGCGCTCTGCTGCGAGAAAGAGTAACGCTTTCTCAGGGTGCGGGCAGGGGGGGGGGGGGGCGGGCGGGCGGGGGGGCGCTGTCCGCCTTCCCAAATTTATATCTGGGAGTTTGAGCCGATGTTTACCACCCCGCTGGGATGCTCCTCCGCAAACAAGTCAGAGCCCATCAATCTGCCTGGCACCCCCGCTCGCCCGATGTGTGACCAGCTCTGCCATTCATGCCACAGCTGTGGGTAGGGGGGGGTGGCGGGCAGCAACACCGCCGCCATGGAATCGGTCCTTTCAAAAGCTTGGATCCTCCCGAGGATGAACCATTGTCTTCCACCCCCACCCCACCCACCCAGTCCCGTATCTGCTCGACCCGGCGACTGCAGGAAAGCTTTTAAGATGTTAATCTAAACTGTGGCGATGCAGCCCAGTTCGCAGTCGGAGGCATGAGTCGAACATGCTGTTAAATGGGTTAATGTCTCGGGTTTAATGTTTAAGCCGTCTTCGGACTGTCTTTGTCCGACTTCATTTGCGCGGTGGAGAAGGTCGTTCGGCTTTGTCCGTGCGCTGTCGTAAGGTCACGTTTTGCTGTCCGCCAAAATAAAATAAATATTGGGCCAAGAAATTCATCATTAATGTTGATTGTTGCCCCTTTTAGTTGGGCGGTCTAGTCGGTCATATACACCAAGTTTTTTCATGCGTTTGGTTTGTTGTCCTTGCCTCACACCTCCGTTGAGCACTGTAGGTTACGTACGGTAAAAAATAAGTTTTTAACATGCATACGTACAAGTTCTGTTGGAGCACAACCATTTAGCCATTCTGGCATGTCACGAGTACAGGCCATTCAAAAGCAAGCAGCAGAATGTTTGAACTTCAAGCACACAGCAACAAGTTATTCTGCTGATAAATATCTGCATTTGTGACTGTATTTGTTAATTTTCTAAAGCCTTCTTTCTCTCCTGCCGTGAATGTCTTGCAATGCGACTTTTCACCCCAAAGCAGCGCAAATATTGCATGCCGGCGTCCGTGAGTTGCACACGCAAGCAATCGATTGGGTGCTCAAATGATACAATGTCTTTGTCCGTAGATGCCTGCAGACCCTGCAGCGATGCGGAAATGCTGATGGCTGCCTGCGTCAGTGACTTTGGTGAGTCAAACAAACCCCGTTGCCTCCAAATCCCACTCGCATGCAAATGCACCGTCCTATTCGGGTCTCTCCCCATCGGTGCGTCCGGGGCACAGTGGCGCACTCACCTGCTGTTATCCGTCAACGCGCAAAGTCCAAGGTTGTGTGGCCGATTGGTGGATGGGGACACGCCAGCGAGGAAGCTTACGGTGGGCAGACTGAATGACGCACACTGCCCGGCGGTCGAAGGTCTCGTGACGCTATCTGCGCCCTTTGTACTCGTTTAGTAGCGGTGGCGTAGTGGTTGGCGCACTGCGCGACGGACATAACGGCCCGAGTTGGACGCTAGTGATATCTGAAGCCGTCGTGCGTCTCCCCTTCCCCAACCCGCACTCGCCAGCATGGTGAAGTATGGTCAAAAACCTTCGTGACCCATGTGGCATGGCGAGGCGTTCATCCAGCATTGGCTCAATAAAGGGCGATACATTATAATTAACTTTATTATTTAGTAGTCATACAGTTAGAAGGGGATAAGTAAAGTTGTATTTAAGACAGCCCCCTAGCCTAAACAGAGAAAAGTAGCTGAATAGTGTGGCTGCTGTGTGCACTTGTGGTGGTTTCAGTCAAAATTTACCCAGAAGAACAGAGGGCCTAGTTGTAAACAAGCAGCATTCAGTTTTAAAGAAGTTGCGTGAACATTTTATAATCGTGAATAATATATTAAAACGTTTGGTGCGTGAAACAGGCAATGGTTGAGGCGTTAAACGTCCCACTCTGCATTATTTTGTTTAAGTACGCTCACGAATATGAAAGTTGCGCTTTTTGGTAAACCGCTCAATCCCTGCTGCATTTGTTTAAAGGGACCCCATGCTGACCACTGTTGATTGGGAGCCACTTTTCACACCACACTGCCAGCCCTGTCACCACATAGTCAAGACATACTGGGGCAAATGGCTGTTTACTAAACGCCACGGGAAGACACAGGGCAGGACAAATAAAGATCTGAACCCATCGGGAGTATCGGCGCTTATTGCTTCAGCTACGGACTCTCGGGGGGCCACCTGCTGTGGCGCAGATTTACGAGGAGGGCTGTGGGGTGGATGTTGGTGTGGCCTGGCCTGGTGTAACGAGTGGCCTCTTTGATCATCCACTCCACTGCCTCGTGTCCATCCCCCCCCCTCCCAGATGCCAAAAACACCGCACTGATGATGCAACGCCTGGTGTTCCACTCTGAAATGTTGCTTTAGGAAAGTTTACATTTTAACGTCTCTGATATGGTAATGTGTACTCCAGAACTTTCTTTTATACAGGACGCTGGTAAACTCGAAATATTAGAATTTAAGTATAAAATATAAACGTTTTGGTTGTTCAAAGTTACATCTACACAAAGTAAATGCTACAATGTAAGGTGTACAGTGTATAACAGTCACATAAATGAGTGTGTAAATCCCATAATTTAGGTTTTTATTTATTAAACTTCATACTGTGAATATAACTTTTGATTAACATCTACGGTATCACTATTATTTGTTACTTTCATCATATTTAAACAAACAATGCTTTCACAATTATATGCGGGGGTGGGGGGGGGGGTGGCTTGAGGTTTCTGCAGCAATATCAGATTCCTCAAAGCCCATAAACACAGATGAAATTAGTGCCACATCTTGGACGTTAAGAAGCAGCAATTACGACCTTTTCCGGCAGCGTGAGCGAGCAGAGAACTTGGCAGGGTTTCACCCTGTCCGTCACCGCAGTCCTCGCCCCTGCTGCCTCTTAGAATGCACGAGGCGTGCACTGCTGCCTGCTGCAGCCCAGCACGCAGCAGAGACGTGGCCGGTAAACAACAACAGCCAACCCCCTTCGGCCCGCAGCGAGCCGCCGTGTTCAGTGATCGATGCTCCTGCGTCGCCCTTCTGAGGTCTCTGGTGGCAGAGAGAGGTCAGGGGGGCCTTGTACTTGAGCCATCGGAGAGCCGCGTGGACTTTCCACTAGTTAGCGTAACACTACTCCCGAACCCGCTGAGGCTGGTGGAATGATAGATATGCTGTGTGCAGAGTAGTGGGGGGGGGGGGGGGGGCAGAGGGAGGGGGTGGAGGAGAATGAGTAGGATGGAGGGAGAGAGATGGAGATGGGCCGGGGGGGATGGATATGGGCAAGCCGACTGGCCGAGCGCCCGCAGAGTCACGAGGCAGGGTCATCATTTCCTACACTTAAGCAGTCTGAGTTAGCGGCCATCCCCTCTTGCCTTGGCTGCAGGCTCCACCGCAGCTGCGGCTGTGTGTGCATCCAGCGCCACCTGCAAGCTATCGAGTGGGCGGGCGGGCGCGTGGCGGCACGCCAGCTCGCGTCCAGACCCTCGTTTTAGCTTGCGTACGCTTCGCCACGGGCGCGTCGCTGTCTGCTCGCATTGCCCAGGATCGCGCTTCGTGCCGCGTAGATGTGGCTTTCGTAAATCCATGTCACAGGTGTCAAAGAGGCAGAGCTGCATCCGTGAGCGCCGTGTTCACTTTCTTTTTTGGGGATTGAGCCATTGGTGGAAATTGCGTGCTCCGATGGAAAGTGCATTCGTACCTTCACATGTTATTCTGCACATAACATTACCTTCCAGTACTTGCTCTGTTTTATGTAGGGGACAGGTCGCTCTTTCATTGAATGGTCTCAAGTGGAAAAAGTTCAATTTGTTTTGGCATTCACTGGTAATCATGACCCCCCTAATTAAAGTAATTGCTGCATTCTGAAAGGCTAGAGCAGAGTTACATACAGAGCTTATTTCTACACACTGCTGAGGAACTGATTTGTTTTATCCATAAAACCAGTGACGACGATACTTTGGAGGACTCCATGCAACAAATCTCTAGATTTTTTTGGATAATGTTATTGCCATTTACCCATGGGTCTGCATGAAAAGCTGTAGAGGGCAGTTTTTTTAAGATAAATCCATTCGCGGTTGCTTGTATGTATTCTAACTTTGAGTTTTCTCCTTTTTCGCTCGCAGTGGCAAAGGGTGAAATCACGTCTGTGTCACACGACAAGGGAGAAGGCCAGTCCATCGTCAGAGTCTCCGTCGTCAAAGTATTCCAGCAAAAAGAGGAGATTTTTCAGCAGCAAAGGACTGCGGGGGATGGGGCGAGAACTCTGGGAGAGCAGCAGAGGACTCTGGGAGACGAGCCGAGGATGCTGGGGGAGGTGCGGACGCCGCTTTGGTGCGGTGTGAAGCACGGCGAAGGCACGTTCCTCTTCACCGGAGGGCTGCACTTTGGTCAGGCGTGGCTTGGCTGCGCGCCCTGGTACGAAGGGTTCAGGAGGGCATACGAGCAGGCACGATCCACCGGAGACAATCCCTGCGAGCTGCAGCTCGACTGAAGGTGGCCGTTCAGGCGGAAGAGACTCTTGGTCGCTCCGGTTGGAGAATGGAGGACTGTGACGCGTGTGCCCGCCACCACGATGGACAGAAACGTGCTTCTCTCTGACGTGTCGTGGGGTCGTGCCGGGCGCGTGGTGTCGTTGTTGTTGTTCAGCACGATTCCTCACGTTTCACTGCACGTGCCCGGGAGCTTCGAGAGGACTGATGCGGGGTTTTTTCCCCGGCAGGTGTGGCGTGCTCCCAGCACGTGGAGGGAAATGCCGCACGTCGTGCCTAACAAATGCATGTGGGGGGGGGGGGGGGGGAGGGGAGAGATGGTACCGCCAAACCGCAAAAACCTACGTCGCCGTTTTGTTCCCCGTTTCCGTTCTTCCGCTGACTTCAGACTAATCACAGCTACCGCTTCCGCTGCCTGTTTTACTGCCAAAAGTTATCAGCTAAGAAAACACAACTCTGCATAGTTGGTGCGATCATTTACTATGGAGAAAACTGCAGTGCAATTACTTGGTTTTAAGTGGGAAGCTTTTTTTAAAGAATAATAATTAACGGACATAAAAGTGTCGATTCATATTTTGTGCAAGATCTAATTTAAACATGTTTTAGGTCCTGTTCATCAGCGGAATTGTCGAGAAATGGTACAGAACCGTAGCTTTTGCCTGCAACACTTAAATTATTTCTTAATAAATAAGGATAGGTGAGAAGCTGAGTCATTCATTGATTCAGGAAGTTTAAAATCTATGAGGTCCTGTGCTCTGGAATCATTTTAATTGCACATTTTAACTAGCTTCTGTTTTTCCACAATGACAAAAACTAACCATTCCTCCTGAATAAAGAATTTGTCTTTTAAAAAAAAAATTCAGCTGCAAATAAAGCATTGATTGCCTCTTTGGTATTAAAAACATACATTCACCTGATATCTTTTTACATTTTGGCAAATCACTCGCGAATTTTACTGTTGTGCTAAACGAAGCATTCAAAAGAAAGTATTTATATTGAAAAATGTGATGATGGGGGAGCAAAGGGGGAAAAGTTAAAATATCATATATATAATTGCATTAAACGTCTCGCGTGAAAAACAATGCTTTTTTAAGTACAAATTAAAGTGCAGAACACAACCCAATACACTTTGTTAAAACCACTGCCAGTGTTTGGTACGTACTACATCTGCTCGTTTTATTCTTTGTAGTAGAGTTTCAACTTAATTGGCTGCATTGGCCGATGCAATACAGAGCGGGCTTGAATGTAATGGAAGATCTTTATCAGCACTTTTATATACTGCATTGTTTTTGCTGCAGCGTCTCTTCTCCACGAACAGACAACAACAACAACAACGCAGCTACGTCGCCCTCCTGCTATTTCAGAGTGAAGAGATGAATAAACCCTCCCAACAACCAGCTCGGTGTAATAATTACTCGTGGTACTGCCAAAACTAAACATAAATCGCAAGTTAATTGTTGAAAGTGACGTTTTTTTTCTTGCTTCATTTTTTACAAATTTGGAGCTTTTATATTGTTGGCGTTTTTGGCCGATGGCATTGAGAGTGTGAATGTTGTACATAGTGTGTGGGCTTAGCGTGTACATGGAGATGCAAGTGTTGCCTGTCGATACAAGCTGGTGGGAATCGTGTGGTTCACTGGCAGAATAGCAATTAGCAAACGCGGTGCTCTCTGCTTCCAGATTTTCAATTAAAGAAACTTTTCTTTCATGTCAACTGAGTATTCTTGCTGTGTCTGTGTGTGTAGGAAGTGATGGTGTAGTGGTTTGTTTTACTGACTGCACGAGTAAATTGGGGACCTTAGTTCGAGTCCAAGCCACGGCTAATGCCAGTGGCGAGCGGTGTCGGTGATTGTCTCGGATCTCCCCAAGGTAGTCTTGAACGAGTATCGGATTTCGTGTGTAACCATCGGTATTGGGGAGACAAAGGTGGTAGGGCATGGTGTGTGGCCACACCAGTGCCTTTTACGCGCCATGCTCACCTCTAGACAGTTCACCCAGCAGCGGCCTGTCTTTGTTCGTGTGCTGACGATGTCGACCCGCCTATCAAATGTAGCGAAATCCATAAAAGTTATTCATTACCTTTAGCAGATTCAGTTCTCAGGTGCTGGGTGCCGTGAGAGTTTTATCTGAAAACTGTTTTACACATCAACACGCACTTACAGACGGGAAGTGAAAAATACAATCTGCACTGGCATTCGTTTCTCACTCGAGTTTATTTGGCACGTTGGCAACAACACGTTTGCCGTAACATTGTCTTGAAGGTAAGCTGCGTTCCAGTTGAAACTGAATGCATTCGTTCGTAACGCCGCCTTCAACGGAAAACGCGCACACGGTGTGTGACCGGTAACTCGGCTGTCCGGATATGGAACTGCCTCCCTGATGGACACATTGTCGGTGAGATCACCGACCCCGGTCTTCAGGCTCTTAAACGCCGAGCATACACATGGGACATCTCTACCTGACTCCCACCACGCCTTGTAGGACCGAGTCTTTGAGCTGCAGTGAACCCAATGATTATGAACGGTTCGATGGACTCGTCTGATAATTATAGCTGTTACAATTGCACCCAATTCAATAACAAGTTTTGAGCAATATGAAGCAGGCCCTTTGCCCAAAACGTCACCTATTATGTATTTCTTAAAATAATATTGTTCATGAATGAAAGTTGTTATCTTACGTGTGTGCACCACTGCCAACGTACTATGACCAAATAATTAGTTGCATTATAGTTCGTGTGCTTGTCTGTATGCTGTCCTGTTTTTCCAAACCAACCGTAACCCCTGTAAACACATGTGAGGTGCCATTTTATTTTAAAGTTATGCTCCATCTACATTTAATATATGTTCAAAACTATGAACATCGTTTGATAGTTTCCGTCTAAAATATGCGATGGCAACCTGACATCAATAATTTAGTAAGATAGCATTTTACACAACTGTAGTTGAGATTGCTTATACACTAACTAAAATACCCTAATGCCAAAATTTCTGCATTTTGCCCTAAAATTACGACTGAGAGGTTTAGTGGTTTTTCTCATAGAGCAGAGTCCGCTTAAAGTTCCAAATTGCTGTAAGTCTCAAGCTAAACTCTCATAAGATCCCGACCCTAAGTAAACAGTCATTGCTCTCCACTGGACTTTGCCACTGAGGTTGATGGTCGTGGGCATAGCCCGACACCGCACGCGATATCTACTCTACGTACATTCGTGCAACATGTACATTTGTAGGTGAAGATAATGAATGAATCAATAATTAGTCCATTTGCCTTGCGTGGTGGGGAGTACGCGCTCACACGTTGGCATTGTGTAAACACTTAACGCCCCGGGATGCTCGCTCACAAAGGGTGCAGCCCGTCAACTCTCTCTGTCTCTGTGCCACAGGCAAGGGGTCAGCGTATGACCCCTGTTTCCCAGGAGCCCACACTGCTCGAGGCCTCATCAATCAGGTGGGGGGGGGGGGGCAAACGCACTGGGGTGGCTGTGTGAGGAGGGCTGGACTGCGCCTGGCACGGGGGAGTTGGTGCCAGCAAGACCACATTCGTTTTGCCGACAGTTTGGCGTGTACGTGTGTGTGTGTGTGTACGTGTGTGTGTGTACGTGGGGAGCGGTAGTGTAGCGGTTAGCGCGCTGCGCTATGAACCTGGCGACCCGGGTTCGATTCCCGCTCACGGCTAACACCAGTGACGATTATCTGAAACGGTCCTGGGCCTCCCCTAGGTCGACTCAGCCTTAAATGAGTACCTGGTGCGGTGTGTAAACATCGCCACTAGGGAGACAAAGGCGGTCGGGCGTGGTGCTGGCCACCCACCCCCTCGTGTACCGTTCCGGCCTTCATAGGTGCTCGCTAACAGCACTTGCCCCTACAGTCTGTTCAGGCTATACGGGGGATCTTTGTCTTTTGTACGTGTGTGTGTGTGTGTACGTGTGTGTGTGTGTGTACGTGTGTGTGTGTGCGTGTGTGTGCGTGTACGTGTGTGTGTGTACGTGTGTGTGTGTGTGTGTGCGTGTGTGCGTGTGTACGTGTGTGTGTGCGCGTGTGTGTGTGTACGTGCGTGTGTGTGTGTGCGTACGTGTGTGTGTGTGTACGTGCGTGTGTGTGTACGTGTGTGTGTGTGTGTACGCGTGTGTGTGTGTGTGTACGCGTGTGTGTGTGTGTATGCGTGTGTGTGTGTGTACGCGTGTGTGTGTGTGTGTACGCGTGTGTGTGTGTACGCGTGTGTGTGTGTGTACGCGTGTGTGTGTGTACGCGTGTGTGTGTGCGCGTGTGTGTGTACGTCTGTGTGTGTGTGTACGTGTGTGTACGTCTGTGTGTGACGTCTGTGTGTACGTCTATGCGCGTGCGTGTGTACGTCTGTGTGTATGTGTGTGTAGTTTGTGTGTACGTGTGTGTGTAGGTAGTGTAGCGGTTAGCGCTACGCTGCGCTATGAACCTGGCGACCCGGGTTCAATTCCCGCTCACGGCCAACACCAGTGACGATTATCTGAACAGGTCCTGGGCCTCCCCTAGGTCGACTCAGCCTTAAATGAGTACCTGGTGCGGGGTGTAAACATCGCCACTGGGGAGACAAAGGCGGTAGGGCGTGGTGCTGGCCACTCACCTCCTCGTGTACCGTTCCGGCCTTCATAGATGCTCGCTAACAGCACTTGCCCCTACAGTCTGTTAAGGCTATACGGGGGATCTTTGTAGGTCTGTGTGCACGTGTGTGTGTGTGTCGGTCTGTTTGTACGTGTGTAGGTGTGTGTGTGTAAGTGTGTGTGTGTAGGTGTGTGTGTGTAGGTGTGTGTGTGTAGGTCTGTGTGTACGTGTGTGTGGCGAGCAGTAGGCCAACCCCAGTGAAGATGATCTCAACCGGTCCTGGGCCTTACCTAGGTCGACTCAGCCTCAAATGAGTACCTGATGCAGTGTGTAAACATCAGCATTGAGGAGACAAAGGCAGCCGGGTGTGGTTCTGACCAAAGCATCCCCCGGTGCATATAGTATTACAGTTGATGCCACTCAAACCTCTCTGGCCGACTGTGCTGTGAAGAAGGGCTGAAATGTCATCTATTACACAATTTACTTTAGAATCTGCCCACCTCTGTCCACCCAGCGGTATAAATGGGCACACTGCAGGTCGCCTGTCTGCAGGTCTCGTGCGGTGGGGTAAAGTGTGGCTACCCCCACCACTTCTAAGACATCTGTCCAGTATGGAAGAGTAGGCCAAACACTCACCAGTGGGGGGGGGGGGGGGGTGTCTCTTGACCTACTTTTAGCCCAGGCCCTTTTTGCCAGCCCTTGGCGTGAGCCACCAATTGGCAGAGCTGCGCCCGTATGCGCGTGATTGACAGGGGAACGATGGTGTTGCCAATGACTCTTTTTCACCAAAGCATGTTAAAGAGATAGACATGTTAGCATGCCGTTTTGTTGTTGTTGTTGTAAGACAGTCTTGTTCACCATGGTGCCGGGGTGTTTTTCAGGCTGTGCTTGTACACCGCTGCCAACACCACGCCTAACGTTTTTTTTTATACTTTCAGGGTGGCTATAAGCTGAGAATTAAAAAAATGATGTCATGGCTATAATGTTGGTGCGGCGCCAAGGGAAGATGTTCCAAATTAGCGTGAAGTTCAAACATGGACTGAAGTCCGTCCCTGAGTTCAAGACAGACGTGATATTGTGTGTAGCGTACCACTACGAAATGTTACTGCACTCAACAACACAAACATTATCAGGCAACTTACCTCTGCGTGTCAATGTCGTCGTGTGTTACGGCAATTACCATGAGGCCCGGGCCAAAGTCAGGTTCAAATTCCACACTCTGTGCTTACCTAAAGAATCAAAACGATTTGGTAACGATTGTGCGCCTATAATTGTAATTGTATCACGGGCCATCTCACAGCCATCTCAGGGGCTATGAGCGGCAAATTCTGCCAATGTACGTTTGCTTCGTGGCCTAACACACAGTGGACACGGAGACAGAACTTGGACCACTCTGTACGTTGCAAGAGACAATGATCCAATTCCTGTCCAAGGTGACTTGTTCAGCTACCAGCACTGGAGCCATTATATCTTCGTTTAGCTAATTGGAGTTAACCATCCTTCTCGATCAAGACATAAATCCTGTTATCCATGACGCACGCACAAAACGTAACGAGTTTACTCGATAATGAAAAATTAAATTAACCGTTTGTTCCTCGCGCAAACGCAGATTCGCGCAACGAAAATAACGATGCATATGCAATGTATGATTAGTCTGGTGGTCCAGGTACTGGGTGCTTGCATCGCATTCATTACAGGCTACGTGAGTACCGATGGATCAATTTTCATTGAGTCTGGACTTTCAGTTCCACTCCTGCATGCCTGTGTTTTTCCATGAGGATTTTTGCCAAAACACACAACCTGCTATAGAATGGAAGTTAAAGACCCCATGAAATAACACACAAGAGTGGGATATTGTGGGGTTTTGTCATATATAAAATATAACACCTGCAAATAGCCAACAATATTACGTCAAATATTTTGTTTGTATTTATGCTTTTTATATGTTTGTGTACGAGCCGTGTTTTAAGATATGGCGCTACAGTAGCGAAATATTAATTCCCTTGTCTGCTGTGGAAGTGGTCGTGGCTTCGATCCCGACCCTAACGACGCCTGCTGCTACTGCTGTATATTTTAAGTTTGCACGTCTCTCTCCCCGTGGTGGCGTGGATTTTTCTCCGGGTCCTACAGTTTT